ATAATGTTTAATGGTCATAGTTTATTTTTTTATTTTTATTTATTAACTAATATATTGTTTCATAAAAATAAATATATATTTTTCCCCCCAATTTTAAAGTTTTCCAGGGAAAAGGCTAGAGTATATATACTTCGCTTGTTCTATTATACATGCATATATACAAATATGAATTTCTATTAATTCCTTCGAATACAGCCAGAAATTAGTTTGCATGCATGGAGTAAAAATATTTTTAGACAGTTTTGTAATAAAACAAAAAAAAAAAAAATTGCCAAACTTCAGCTTCATTGAACAAGCGTCTATCTGCAGATCGTTCAGACTGTCTGCCTATGGCCAATAAGCCAGAATTTTATTTGTTTTTGGCGCATAAATAATCAAAGAAACACAGACAGCGAAAGGGTGGGTCAAACCAAGGGCTGTTGGCAAAGGGCAGACAACTTGGCAAACAAAACCGAAACTAAAATACTTTTATATGGCCATGTGAATCTGTACAATAGATAATAACGTTTAATAAAAACATAAAAACACTGCCAGCCGACACACAAATAAAAAAAGTAGAATGAATGAAAATAAACAAGAAATGGCATAAATTGTCAGACACCAGAAAATTTAATGTTTTCTTTATGTGTGTTTACAGAAAAATTTGTTTGGATTTGAATTGATTCATTTATTTTTTTTACTTTTCTCTTCTTTTCTGTTCACTAAATATTGATTTTAAAGTATGAGCAATTGTGTATAAAAATAATAGTAAATAAATATGTAAATAGGTAGCAAAGAGATATTTAGGTAAAAATATTTAAAGATTTGCAAATTTAAAATTCTTCAAAAATTGTAAAAATTCCTTGTTAAGCCCATCTATCATACAGTGCCTGCTAACATGATGTAGCCTGCTGGCGTATAAGTGTATTTTCGAGTACGAGTACAAAGTGGATATTTTAAACAAATCCTCATTGAATTTAGATCGTAACGCACTCTACCCCTTGCAGCTAAATACCAGTGAACGACAGGTAGACATTTAGCCAGGTACAAGGAGCACACTTTTTGTGTGTGTGTGTGTGTGTTTTTTTTTGTGTGTGTTTTGGTTAACATGGCACGCCTTCCTTGTGTATGCAAAAATCTGTGCTCATTACATTGGACTAGGCTAAAAATATGCAAACAATGCTAGACAAAAATTGGATCTCTGCTTGTCTTGTACGAAAAGTTGTGAATGGGGTTCGAGTTGAGCAAGATGGGCAAGAACAAAGGCGAAAACCTTTCACCTACAACATAGCTGAGCCTCTGGCTGCGGCTCCGGCTCCGGCTCCGGCTACGGTTGGGGCAATACTCACTGCAAAACAATGGCGCTCATCAGCAGAACCGCAATGAAAATTGGAAAATGCTCTCTCTCTCTCTCTCTCTCTTTCACTCGTGCAACTTCAGTGCTCAGCAATGCAAAAGAAATGGCAAATATTGAATTGAAAAGAAAATGTTCTAGCAAACACACGCACACACGTAAACAGAGGGCAGAAATCAATGCCTGCTACAGCAGACAAATACCTAATAGCTCACCTGCCATAGCTCATTGTTCACAGTGTGGGCGTGGCAGGTGATGTTGCTGCTCCTACTGCTTCTACTGCTGTTTGCTGCTTTTATTTTTCGCCTTCTTTGTGTGTGTGCATGCAACAAAATGAAAATCAATGAAAAAACATCCCAACTAACGTATGACGGGCTCGCCATCCAGTTTCTTGAGATTGGGCAAACGGCGTATGGCCTCAGCTACAAATGCAGCCGGATCCATGTTCTCGTTCAATGGATTGCCAATGAAAGTTATGTCCGATAGATTCGGGGGCACGCCAATGCGCGCAAACTCAGCCCAATCCTTGACCAGATTGTGCGATATGTAGAACACCTTGAGGGCCTTCATCAGCTCGATCTGTTTGATTTTCTCGATATTGTTGTAGCTAACCCATAGCTCTTCCAGCGTGTCGGCCAGCGCCTCGATGCCATTCAGATTTTTGAGATAATTGCGCGAGAGGCTGAGCACACGTAAATTCTTCATGCCCGATATGCCAGCAATTTTCTCAATCATATTCGAGGAGAGACTGAGCTTCTGGCACTCCACCAAGGTACTCAGAGTCGCATCCATTTTCTCAATGGGTGGATACTGGAATTGCAGGCCAATATCCAGGGCCGTTACGGCCTCCATCTTGGTACGATCCTCCCAGCGCGCCAGGGCATCCTTAATTGTTGTCGGCTTGGACATGTTTGAATAAATACTTAAATAAAATTAAAAATAAATGTTCATTGAAATGTTTTTTCGAGTGTCGAATCGAAATTTCAAGTATAGTTTTTGGCCAAAAAAGTCAAGGCTTAAGGGAATAAATGAAATGTTAACTTAGTAAATGAAATTTGAATTTCAATGGGTTTTGTTTTTAAAAAGTTAAAACTTAAAATTTAAAAAGTTAAAATTCAATTAAATAATTTTAATCAATAATCAATAATAATAAAATATAATA